GTCAGTGAACCCCTGGGCACCAAGCCAAGTGGGTCCTCAATTTGCAAACATGGGTCTCAGGGATACACTACGTAGCAGGAGAAGGACTCCATGTGAAAAGCCTGGTACACCCAGGCTACTCCTTGAGGACCTGCTGCTAGGGCCACTGGGCACAGCTCAGAGGTGCAGCTGTGCCCGTCCCCCTCCCCTACCCCCACTGTGGAGGCCCCTCCAGTCATCTTGCAGCTGTACAGGCACAATCAGAAGCCAGGAATGACTCAGAACTGAGGGGTGGCAGGAGGCTGGAGGAAGGTGCCAGCTCGGTCCACGCCCGGCTGTAATTACTCCAGGCGCAGGCAGCGGATCGCAGCGCAGCGCTGTGCGGGGGAGGCTGACAGCCACTCTGCCGCCCTAAGTGCAAGCCTTCCAGGGAGCACAGGCTTCTCCACCATGAGGCCTCAAGGAGCACTGCTGTGACGGTGGGGCAGCACAGGCAGGTCCTGGCCCAGCTGACCAGCTGAGAGAGAAGACAGAGCCAGCCACCAGTGAGCCAGGGCTGGGGCTCCCCATACCCAACCATGGCCTGGGTGTCTCCACCTCACAAATGACAGCCACAGGCAATGCCACTCAAGGGTAGCCAAAGGGGAGAGAGCAACATGAAGCTGAGAGGGGACACATGGTACAGGCCAGACCTGCCCCTTCCCACTGTTCCTGCAGTGACACTGAGTACTCCCTGAGCAGGGCCCAAGCCACCACCAGAGCGAAGGGTGATCTGGGTCTCAGTGGGCCTCCTCATGCTCCTCAGCAGCCAGGTCGCTTACCAGCCTTTCCTGCCAGATCTGGCTGCCTGGCATTGCGGGGCCTGGACCTATGGAAGCTTCAGTCCAACAATAAGAACACAGCTTCCAAAGTACCCACCTCTCTGTGCCAATGGTGCCCCATGAAAGCCCAGAACACCAGCTTTCATTTTGACCTTGAACATCAAGGCCAGTCAGCCCCACTGATTAAGCTGAACTCCCCAACAAGTCACTCACTTGAGGCAAGAGTCACTGGGACAGTAAACACAGGCAAAGCACTCCCCCAACCCAGGCCAGATGTTGCAGATGACTATTCTCCATAGCCCCAGCAGCCCAGTGACCACCCAGGCACATCCACCAGCACACCAGAGACCGAGTGCCTATGAGCCACAGTCAACACCTATAGGACATGGTGTGGGGACAAGGGCTATAGAGGCTGGTCAGCTGGGAGAAGCAGCCTTTGCTGCCCTGGCTGCTCCACAAAGGGGACGGATCCAAACGGCCATAGCTCAAATGCTGGTGATATGCCAGGCAACACGTGGTAACAGGTGCTGCAGGGAAGAGAAGTGCAGGCTGCTCTGTTCCAGACTTGGCCATCCTACTAATGATGGTATCGCAGGGGCTGGCCCCAAAATTGCCTCTAAAATACACACATAGCACCACATACACTTGTACTCATATGCTCATGTGTGCACATGCACACACATCAGAGCTCCACTATCAAATCAGTACCTGTCACTTCACCACCTCTTCCGGGGCCTGCAATGCTTAAAAAAAAAGGGGGCAGATCCCACTGGGGTCTGAATCAGTTGCACAGTCCCAGAGGCCCCATGCTGCCCCACAGCTCCCTAAGATACCCACCTGAAGAAGCGGGTGGGATGAGCTGGGCAAGTGGATTCCTTTCTGCTGATTGCCTGTGCCAGTACTGGCCAATCACACCAGCTCCAGGAACCCTCTAGCACCTGCTATCTTCATAGGTCAGCTGCAACACAGCCAGGCCAACTTCCTACCAACAGCTACAGGGTGAGGAGAACAATCAGATGGCCTCTGGTGACCAGCCCAACCATGCTAACCCAAGGCTCTGGCACCACACACCATCAAGAGCACCTAGGGACTTGCCCATGCTAAGCTTCTCCCCCACCCTGCCACATCAGAGAAGGCAGACAGCACTATCCCTAGAGAAGGTGCTGGAACTCTCACCCTCAAGAGTCACAGGTCACCCCATGCTTCTCTTGAAACACAAGACTATGAGAACACAAGAATCTGACCATCTTTCCTGGCCCTACTGGGATTGATAGCCAGGTGCTAAAGAAACCCCCTTATGCATGCAGGGACACTTTGAGCACCCCACTTGAGGGAAGGCCCTTAGGTATCATGCTCCCTGAATTCTGAATGGTGCACCAGTCATCCAGTGGCAGTAGACTCTCCACCCCTGCCCCAGCATGCTGTTCCTAGATCCAGAGGCTGTCAGGACTGGCCCTGGGCTCTGCCTCCTGTGACAAAGAGGGAGGGGCCTTCTTCTCTTCACTCTCTTGTTCTCTGCAGGGCCCAAGGCTCTGAGGGGGAGTTCCCAGTGGACCTCAGGAAGCTGTCTTTGTTTTTTCTCCCCTTCATCTTCCATGAAATTCCCCGAGGACATGGCTCCCAAGGGAACTGAGCCACCAGGAAAGAGGTCAAAGTCTGTGTTATGGATTCTTCCAGGAGTAAATCAAAACTGTACATTTTATTCTCAATTTTTAATCAGCAGGGTCAAGGACAAGCTTTCTTTGCCCAGGTAGACACCACTTAGAACTGCAGTTGAGGCAGCGAGAGGGCCACGGCAAACAGCTGAGCTGCATCGCAATGACTCTGAGCAGAGCCACAGCTTGGCCTTTCCAAGAGGCACTGCCAGCACTTCTGCAAGCGCCAGGTCAGGACCAGGACCAGCTTCAACAGGAGCTAGAGTCAGTGTGTCCCAGGAGAGCACAGAGCCCTTTGGTGCCTGACCGGCCCAACCGGCCCAGATCAGCATATGGGTGGCTTCAGCTGTCTCCTGACAGTGCCTCCATGTGGGCTGGGTTTCTACCTGGCCAACATGCCAACATGCCCAACCTGTACTAATACTGTCATGGCACTATGGGCTCCCCAAAACACAGAAAAGTTATAGAGCACAGGACTGGAAGACTCGGAAGTCAGCTCCAGAGGGTAGTGAGAACCACCTACATACAAAACCAAACCTGATACTGTGCAGCGGCAGTAGAGCTGGTCCCTGGGGCAGAAGCCCCCAAGAGGAACAGCCTCTCAGACACCCGCAGCCTGTTTGTATCCAACACACAAAATTCTATTGAGATCTCATCACCACCTCCTCGCTCAAGAAACACCAACCACTAGCCCACCAAATGCAACACACAGAACTTGTGTGCTTATTGTGAACCCCAAACCTGCTGGGCTACAGCCAGAGGGGTCCCTAGTCTTGACAGTTTTTCTGCCACTGTGACAGTTCTCACTTCAGATGTCCAGATGAATTATAGCTGCACATGGGTAAAGCCACAGAGCTGTATCTGCAGACTGTCTGCTCCAGTGACCAATACTATTAAGGATGACTATGGATCCCCCACAGGATCCAAAGCCAGAACAAAGCCAAACCATGCACCCTCCTGAATCTCAACATTAAAGTTCCTGTTTAATGGTTTCAGCATAGAAGCGAGGAAAAAAGACTGGCCAGCAATTCTCTTCTACCTCCTGCAATAATGAGCAAACTGTAATGGAACTAATGACTAATAATTTAATAAACCTCCCTCCCTTCACAGCATGTGCTTCTACAGAGGGACAAGGCCAGAAACATATGCCACAGATTCTACATGATCCCAAACATAAAACCCTAAAGGCTGTTGTGAATCCTGTTTACCAGCAACTCTAAACATGGCTTCAGAGCTGCTTGAGCCCTCCCCCCCCATCACCCGCCCAGGATTCCTCCAGACCCATGTAACTGCAACTTTAAAGCCTTTATTAAAAGCTGTATTAAAGTATAATCTGTCCCTGGACTCCAGCTGAAACCAAAGGGGCCACCCCAGAAGCCTCCATCTGGCTATCGGCAGCCAGAGAGAACAAGTTAAGAGGGTTTCACAGGCCACTGGCTAAGAAGGCACAGCCATGGCTGGTTAATACAATTAGAAACTGTTGCTGTGAGAGCGGGTCGCAATCCCATTCAGCGGCCATGAACCAGCCACTGCACGCAAATACCAGCTACTCTAATCGGCAACCTTTCACTTAACCTTCAGACACAGTTTTGAAATAAAGCACGTTTTTGTAAGAAGTCCGCCGTGGACCAGCCAGGACAGGGATTTTCTCTTGAGAAAATGCCCCGGGGAACTGCAGTGGGACTGGTGCCATTGAGAGCCCAGAGCTGAGTTGTTGGGGGTGGGAGCCTTGCCTGTGAGAACCACGCTGGAGAAAGAGAAAACCAAGGGCCTGTCCATGTGCACACAAGGCACAAACACGACTGGGAAAGGGGTGGAGAGGCTTCTAGGGGCTCTGCCGTTCTTAGATGGGAAACTGTCATTTTCACAGATGAAGATGTGAATGCGACTCTTAACACATATCACAAGCAAAGGCGGGCGCGTCAGCCTCCTACACAATTAGTCTTCTCCCTCCGCGGTTACATAAGATGATGGATTATCTGTCCACCCAGCCAACCTACCCGCTCGACCTCCCACCTTGGGCCACGTCCATTAACACCGGGAAGGAGCTGAAGAAAGGGAAAGAAAGCCTGTTGAGAAGTGCCCAAAGACTGGCTAACCGCGCCGGGAAGAGTCCCACTGTGCCACCGCACCAATCAGGCGCAGGGCAACACGCCGCGGCGGCCTACGGCTCCCACGCGGCCCCCTAGCCCCACGCTCCACTCCGGTCTACAGTGGCCGGGACCGGTTGCGAGGGCTCCCAGGGCCAGGCGCTGCTCCGTCCCCCAGGACGCCAGGCAGGCGCACGGAGGGGTGCGCGGGGGCCGAGCCGCGCCGTCGGGGTGGGGAGACCCAGCATGGACTGAGACTGGGGGCGCTGCGGGCAGCAGCGGGCGGAGGAGTCTATGGCGGGCGCGGCCACCTGTGACCAGCCCGAGCTGGGCTCACCACGCTAGCTTTCGGAGGCCCCGCAGAAAGACCTCCGAGGGCCCCAGCCACTCTGCCCAGGGGTCGCCTGGTCGGGCCCGAGCGCACCAGGACGGACAGCCCAGCGCTGGGGGCTCACCTTGTAGACATTTTCTGTAAGCCGGTGCATCTCCTCCGAGCGTGACAGCGACATTATTCTGGGTCCCGGCTGCACCACAGACCGGAGCGGAGGCGCAGGCGGCGACAACGACGACGCGGAAACTGCAGAACAAGGAAGCGCGCGGACCCGAACCACAAAACGCGGCGCCAGGCGGCAGCCGCATTTATAGACACCGCATACCCCGCCCCGCCGCAGGCCCCGCCCACGCGCCCCGCCCACGCCGCGCCCGGATCACCGCCCCCGGCCGTCCACCCCCGCCCAGTCCGTCGCTGCTAGGCAACCGCTAGGCCCGCTCCTGCGCCGCCCTTCTCATTGGTGAGTTATAAAGATGGGGGCGGGAGGCGGGATCAGAGGCGTGGCACTGTGACCAGATCCAGACGGCGATTGGTCGATGGTGGTGTCGTTCCGGAGGAGGAGGCGGAGGCGCGGCACGGGC